TATATATATATATATATATATAAAATATGATCAGTTATCCACCTGAAAGAGAAGCGAGAAAATGTTGAGACAAGGAGTTGATCTTATTTGGTAATGCCTGAAAGGTAGTCAACAATATCCGCATCCAAGAAAAAAAGTCAAATTTATTTTATTTTTTACTCTATACGTTCTCTTTCTTCTTTCTCTTTAACAAAAAAAAAACAAACACCAGCAATAACATCGGCGATGGCGGCACCTATGATCAGGGGTGGACCTAAAGGTTGGCGAGGGGTTAACTCGAATTCACTCAGCAAAAAATTACGTTTTATATTTAAGGTATTTTTAAGAATTTTTATGTCTATATTAATTTTGAATGGTCAAGAGTTTTTTTCCAAATTCCCTTAATGAAAATTCTGAATCCGCCACTGCCAATGATCCACCATGTGAGCTTCACTCCTCCTCTACCACCAGGTCTCTGTCTTCACTAAGCCACCTCTCATCTTCAAATCACACGTCTCACAGTAGCTCAACTAAAAATTTCACAGAAAATAACCTGTTACTCCACCATGCGACAATAGATTCATCAACCACCAATTCCGCTGTGAACCACCACTTAAGCCACCATTGCCGCTACTTTTGTTTTCCTCCATAGTTCCACGATTTTCAATGTAGGAGATGCAGATTCAAGCACAAACATAATAAAAAGGCATAATACATAAACATGATCCTTAACTTGGCACCAGCTGACAACTATGACTTTTAACTTTGGGTGTGCACAAGTAGACACTTAAACTTGTATAAAATTGAACAAACCATGTAGGACACGTGTGTCTACTTGAATTTTATACAAGTTTAAGTGTCTACTTGTGCATACTCAAAGTTGGGAGAACATAATTGTCCGTTGAAGCCAAGTTAAGGGTCATGTTTATTAATTATGCCTATTGATAAGAGCTTATGCCCTTTGGTGTTTTGATGATATCCTCACAAGTGCAGGGACCTGGTCCTCTGCAGAGTATGAATCTTGTCCAGTTTTCAAAAGTGCCAAGCAACTGTTAAAGCTGTCTGCGTCAGAGGGTTGGTGAAGTAGCAGTGTACTCCACCAATCAGAGAGGACAATGTTGTTTGTTTGATGGGTAATAACTCTTTATGGTATAAATCAAACAAACAACAACTCATTTACTCATTCATTCAAAAAAAGAGAAATACATTAAAGCTTCAAAACCAGCAAGGGACCTGATAAAATCGTCATTAATGCTTTCTGTGTCTATTGTTTTGTTTGCTTGTATAAGTGCTTACATTGTAGGATTCGTTTCGTTGTGATAAGAAACGTTTTAACTTGTGTGAATCATTGTGAGTTCTGAGTTAGAGTTAACTTGGTTCTTACTCTAAATCTATATTAATCAGGATAGGATTAGTATAGTGGGTAGTGTGACATCTACTCTAGCTCGTCTATGTGATAGGAGGTGTTACTTAGAGTTGGGATTAGCAGGCTAATCTCGGTTTGTAACTGGTTTTACTTTTGCTTGAGAAGATTAGTGAAAAGCAGTTCTAAAAGTCCTGGCAGGCCAGGTCGTGGTTTTACTCCCTTGAGCAAGGAAGTTTCCACGTAAACTCTCTTGTCAATCTTTACTTTTCAGCACTTGTTCTTTACTGTTTTAGTTTCAACTGTA